AATTCATTCTATCATTCTCTATCTTTTGATTGGAGCGTTTCATCCACTTACATTTCAAGTAGTTACTGATAAGGAAGGACTTCATTCTGTCATTTTGCTATTTGTTTTCTATGTGCCTTACAGCTTTTTTGTCCTTCATTTCCTGCATTACTGTCTTTGTGTTTAGTTGACTTTTTTTGGTAGTGGAATGTTTATATCGTTTTTTATTTTCTTTTGTATATGTTCTATAGCTATTTTCTTTGTGGGTACAATGAGGGTCACATTTAACCTCCCAAAGTTTTAATTTAAATATATAGCTTAACTTCAATAACATACAAAAACTCTTTTATCTGGGAATGTCCTAATTTCTCCCTCACTCTTGAAGGACAGTTTTGCCGGCTATAGGAAAAACATGTATCTTATTGAGAATCCCTTGTATGTGACAATTTGCTTCTCTTTTAGTGTTTTCTTTTAGCAAAACTTCTTCCTGAGGAGTGGAACCTATAACAGCTAAGCACCTTCTTACTAAGGACATCTCTGACACAAGAGACCACTTAGCCTTCCCTTTTCATTAAGAAGCCGTATCTAAATAACATTTCTAACGAAGTCCCAAATCCTTGATGCCACTGAAATCAGTGCATATGGTCACACAAAGCGTAATTATATTTCCTCCACCATCACCAACAGCCCCCATTAGCATTTATCTTCTTGGGAAATGAAATTCTGATGTGCTCGTTTCATGCAAATTATTACTGGCAGAAGAGAGTGGAAGATTTCCAGATATAGAGACCCACAAGATAAAGAAGCCCAGAGCTGTCAGACCCAGGAGCAGACACAGGGTGTGCCTAACTTACCCTCAAGGTTGCATAAGCAAGATTTCAAAATTAATTCTACTCTGGAGACTTCAACCTAGTATACAATGTTCCTGGCTGGAAAAGAAGAACTATACCATTCTTTTTTTCAAATCTTTACCATTACTTGCCCTTGTATCTCCGCCTTCTCTTTCTGCAGGAAACTTTATTTCCTACTTCTGCACACCAAGTTTCTACCTCCAGATCTGTTTGGTTCAGTTGCTGAGAAGCCTGACACACCAGTGCCACTTGGAAGAACCCATCTACCGGTGAGTTGGGGGTGTTTTTTCTATCACTTTCTGAACCAAAGGCTCGAAGCACCTCAGTGATAGAGATGCAGGGACTGGGAGCACCCTGGGGGTCTCCACAGCCCAGGAACTTGGGAGATGATCAAGACAGGAGAAACGGGTGGAGGGCGGCATCGGTACCAGGAATGTCAGAGAGACCCCAATGGCAGTGAGTAAGCGCAAAGTGGAGACCCCCCCTCAGGGCTCAGGTGGTAGGATAGAGTGGGCTAAAAGACAATTAAGAAAGTAGGACAATCAGGTTTCTCAACTACTGCTCCTCTCACTCTGCCCCTCCCAGCCGCCAAGGACTGTGAAGAGCTGGAGCTTTCTACCTCAGATTTTCCCCCCTCCAGTCCATATATGTGATAGTCCAGGCCCTGCACCAAAATGCACCTCCTGCCTCAATTCAGAGGCTGAAGTGAGGGATTCACTTTTCTGGGAGGCAGCTTTTAATCAATTCTGGATGATGTGTCTTGACACTTGAAAGTGACACATTAACCAGTACCCTTCAGCTCCCTTGCTACCTGTCGGCTATGGTAGGAGCTAGGTGTACTGGGGTGACATGGGAATAGGGAATAAAAAGGAGAAGGTGGCTGGCACTTGAGAGGCCAGGGCAGGTGAAGAGCAAAGCACAGGAAACACACGGTGGATGTGGCTGGGGCAGTTCACCCACAATCTGAATCACCAGAGTGAGGGTCTGGGCTGTGTATTTCTGACTGACAGGCTTCCTGTGTGATACTGAAAGCCAGCATTTCAGAATCACTGATCCAGTCCACACTTTCCTGTACAGATGAGGAGACTAACCTGCAGAACAGCCCAGAGGGCCTGCTGCAGCTAAAAGGCTGTGTGCAAGGATCTCCAGTATTTTAGTCTTTATAAGATCTCCCACTGCATTACCTGGGAGTCTAGTCTACAGGGTAGCCCTTTGTTTCTCAGAAGCTTGTAGCCTGCTAGTTCGTTGTTATTCACTTTTTCAATTGATATTTATTTAGCAGCTTCTATGTGCTAGGCTGGGTTCTAGGGCACCAAGATAGCTCATTGCAAAACAAATCTCTCTGCCCTCATGGAGCGTATCTTCTGGCGGAAATGTCTCTGAGTGTGTGTGTGTGTGTGTGTGTGTGTGCGCGCTTGTGTATGTATGGGTGGGGCACGCTTGTATGGGAAAGTGTGTGGATTTTAAGGCTAAGATGCCAAACAAGTTCTGTTCAAGGCATGGAAGAATAACTAGAAAATCTGTTACTTGTTCTTTACATCCATCTCTGCTCTCAGAGCCTGAAGATGAAAACCCCTGAGGGCCTTTGAAATTGTATAGCCCAAGGTTCAAATTCCAGCTCGGCCATTACTTGCTTTGTGAGTTTGGGAAAAATCATTTAATCCACCCACCCATGCTTCTATTTCTTCACTTGTAAAATGTATGCTGATCTCACAAAACAGTTGCAAGGATTAAATTAATTAATGTATGCAAAGTATTTAGTATAGCACTTGGAGCTTAAGAACACTCAATTAATTACTATAGTTTTAATTCTTTAGGTGGATACATTTTTTCCCCCAAGTTTGATGAGAGGTATTATTTAGTTGCTGCTGATTTAAAGAATCTAGTTCAGTGCTGTGAAATTCAAAATCTGTGAAATGTATCAATCACAAGAGAAACTGAAGAATAAGGTGTATACACAGATAAAAACAAAGTCACAGTCATTGCCAGGAAAAAATGAATATTCTGGGGAACCAATTCTAATGATGTTAGTTGGCACACTTATTACGAGTTTTGTGTATTTTGTCCATGAACATTTATTGGTGCCTCCTTTAGCCAGGTGCCATCATAAGAGCTGAAGACAGAAACATGACCTAGTCCTTGCTCTCAAGGAGCACACAATGTGTAGAAGATAATGTGCTTATTTAGAGGCACACACGGTGTTATGAGATAAGAATGATTTGACAGGGGAGGTGGGTTGGGCTTCACGGAGAAGGGGAATTTGAGCAGGATGTATTGCAGGATGAACAGGAGCTCACTAGCCATTTTAAGCAGAGGGGCAAGCATGTGCACAACCACTAAAGCCTGAAGGAAATGACAAGTCTGGGGGAAATGGAAAAAAGATGGGTATGGCTGGAGCACAGGATCTGGGATTTGAGAAGTCATTAGCTGAGAAGAAGTGAGCTTAGAAAAGCCATGATGAGTAGTCTGGGCATTGCCTTTGAGGCCCCGCCACATACAAATCGTGGGGCTACTCCAGTTTTAAACTGAGAAGTGCATGATCCAATTTCAGCTTCAGAGAAGACAGACTGAATGGGAGCATGGCTAAGAATAAGGCATGAACAAATGAAAAAGCTCAGCAAAGCCAGAAGTGAGAAGTATAGGAGGCAAGAGAGTGGCAGCTGAAAGAGATGCAGAGGGGATGACTCAGAGGTGTTTATGAGGGAGAATTCATAAGACTTAGTTGTAATAATACAAAGCATTTCTCTGTATCAGATGCTGCACTACGTCTTTGTTTCCAGAGCAACTCAGTTTAGTTATTATTTTATACATGAAGAAACTGATAGTTGAAGAAGTAATTAGCCCCGAATTACACAACTGTAGTTTGGAAGCGGGATTCAAATCTAGGTCTTTTTGGCTCCAAAGGCCTGGCTCCTAATCTTCTGAAGAAGAGGGGACCCAGGACAATGTCAAATCTTACTTCTTAAGTAATGGAGTAAATGACAATAGCCAAGATAAGGAATCTACAAGTTGAAGCAACTTTCCAGGGGTGTTCAGTTTGGGGTGGGCTGAATTTGAGGTAAGCTATATGATACCCACTTTGCTCTCTGCTGTATCTCCAGTGCCTAAAATAGAGTATGGCTCCTGGCAGGTGCTCAATAAATATTGGTTAAATGAATAAATCCATGGGGAGATACGCAGTCGGCAATGGAAAATTCAACTCTGAGGTGGGACTGGAAGGCAGAGCTTTGGGAAGCATTAGCCTACAGGAAACTTAGAACCTTGAGATTAGACAACACAATTCAGGAAGAACTTTGGAGCAAGGGTAAAGGGGTAAATGGTAAAGAAGTGGGAGCCAAGGATGGTGCCTGGGACTCTTACAGTGTGGGCAGACGAAAGAGACACCAACAAAGAAAATGAAAAAGCAGGGGTGAGCCACTTTTTCTCCTGGAAGCCAAAAGTTTTTTTGTTTGTTTGTTTTTTAACTTTTTTTTTTTGGCCTTGATATTCACTGTAATATCAAGATATTTTGATCTTAGCTCCCTGACCAGGGATCGAACCCACGCCCTCAACAGTGAAACCATGGAGTCCTAACCACTGGACAGCCAGGGAATTCCCAAGCCAAAAGTTTTAAATGGAAGAAGTCAGCAGAAGGATCAAATGCTTGATGAAAACGAAACTGAAAGCCAGCGTGTTTAAAAATTGGGTTGTCATTGCAACCCTGGCAAGAGAAGTTTTCTGATGGAGACAGAAAGTTGAGAGAGATATCAGAACACTCTGGGTGGCAGGTAACAGAAAATGCAAATCATAGTGGCTCATTATGAGCATCCCCAGGAGACCCCAGCGGAGTCCCCTTAAATACTATCATCCAGGAATGGGTCACAGGCCTTGTGCCACTGCAGAGGAGCTAGAGAAAGCAAGTGTCCAATATGGTCAGCCTTATCACGAGAGTCAGGGTCTCTGGGAAGGCCAGGCGTGCTGGGAAATGGCTGTGCGGACATGACTGGTGTCTGCAACCAGGAAAAAGGGGAAGTGATGAACTAGCACACACGGTTTCAAGGAGATGGCTGTAAAGCAAAGACAAAGCCTAGGACGTTGCTTAAGTGGAGCAGGCACCTTGGTAAGATTGGGGATTGCAGCCGTTGTGTTGTATGTCATCATCTAGTCCTCTTGTTTACAGGACAAAGGAAGATGGATGGCAATGATACGTTTCCCCAGTTCAGCCACAATGTGCTTTCCACATCTCATTCTCTGTTTACAACAAATATCAAGGGGAACGATGAAGAACCCACCACCAGTTATGACTATGATTACAGTGAGCCCTGCCAAAAGACCACTGTGGGACAAATTGAAGCCCGGCTCCTGCCCCCGCTCTACTCGCTGGTGTTCATCTTCGGTTTTGTGGGCAACTTGCTGGTCGTCCTCATCCTGATCAACTGCAAAAAGCTGAAAAGCATGACTGACATCTACCTGCTCAACTTGGCCGTCGCTGACCTGCTGTTCCTCCTCACCATCCCGTTCTGGGCTCACTATGCTGCAGACCAGTGGGTCTTTGGGAACGTGATGTGTAAATTTTTCACAGGGCTGTATCACATTGGTTATTTTGGTGGAATCTTCTTCATCATCCTCTTGACAATCGATAGGTACCTGGCTATCGTCCATGCTGTGTTTGCTTTAAAAGCCAGGACGGTCACCTTTGGGGTGGTGACAAGTGGGGTCACCTGGGTGGTGGCTGTGTTTGCCTCTCTCCCAGGAATCATCTTTATCAAATCCCAAGAAGAGCATTCTGGTTATGCCTGCGCCCCTTATTTTCCACTAGGATGGAAGAATTTCCATACAATAATGAGAAGCGTCTTGGGCCTGGTGCTGCCACTGCTTGTCATGATCGTCTGCTACTCGGGAATCCTAAAAACCCTGCTTCGGTGTCGCAACGAGAAGAAGAGGCACAAGGCCGTGAGGCTCATCTTCGTGATCATGCTGGTCTACTTTCTCTTCTGGGCTCCCTACAACATCGTCCTTCTCCTGAGCACCTTCCAGGAATTCTTTGGCTTGAGTAACTGTAAGAACAGCAGTCAGCTGGACCAAGCAATGCAGGTGACTGAGACCCTGGGGCTGACGCACTGCTGCATCAACCCCATCATCTATGCCTTCGTCGGGGAGAAGTTCAGAAGGTATCTCTCTGTGTTTTTCCGAAAGCACGTTGCCAAACACCTCTGCAAACAATGCCCAGTTTTCTACGGGGAGACAGGAGATGGAGTGAGTTCAACATATACCCCTCCCACTGGGGAGCAGGAAGTCTCGGCTGTTTTGTAAAGGAGTAGCAGTTTGCTTGTTATTTTCAAAGGGAGACAGAAATCTATATACCATGATAAGCCTCCACGGTTTGTTGAAGAATAAAGGACTCTAAGTCCCTAAAGCAAGTGCCCAGGAACCTCAGGGTTGTATGAACCAAGACAGACTTGTGTCATTCCTTGTAGAGCCAACATGTGCTCAGGGAATATTCCAGAACAACTGTGGGCAGAGACCTGGACTCTCCAACGAGCTCATCGCAGTTCCTGGAAAATGCCACTTTGCCTTGTGCTTTTGCTCTTTCCCCCCTCGTCACCACTTTGCTCACTCTCTGATTCTATCAATGTCTTTAATCAGCTGGAGGTGAGGAAGAGAACGAGACAGGCACAGGTGAATGGAACAAGGGGGAGTGGGGTCAGGATCAAGGAGGAGGAGGAGGAAGTGTCAACAAGGCTGAGCCTGGATGAGGATGCAGGTAAGGGCTTCGCTCTCCCTTAGCGCCACCTCCTACTGTATTTAACTTTGGAGGCTTCCGCAGCTCATGGAGAGCTTAGGAACTGTAAGAACTTTCTAGAAGCTTTGGCTGGGTCCATGATCCCCCTTCTGCTAAATGCATGACACATTTCTGCTTTATCATGGTTTAGCTATGACAACCACGCACCCTACATTTGAAATCTATTCAGTATCTTGCCCCACTGTTCATATGCTTCTTAGGCCTCATTCCCCTATACAAAAATTTACTAAAGGACTTCCCTGGTGGCGCAGTGGTTAAGAAACCGCCTGCCAATGCAGGGGACACGGGTTCAAGCCCTGGTCTGGGAAGATCCCACATGCCGCGGAGCAACTAAGCCCGTGCGCCACAACTACTTAGCCTGCGCTCTAGAGCCCACGAGCCACAACTACTGAAGCCCGCGCGCCTAGAGCCCGTGCTCTGCAACAAGAGAAGCCACCACGATGTGAAGTCCACACACTGCAACGAAGAGTAGCCCCCACTCGCCACAACTAGAGAAAGCCCGTGTGCAGCAACAAAGACCCAACGCAGCAATAATAAAATATAAAATGAATAAATAAATCTTTTAAAAAAATTTACTAAAGTGTTTGTCTATAAAAAATATGCATAATCCTTAATGAGATGAAAAAAATAAAAGCCCTCGCTTGGAAACAGGAGGATTGGAGGTCGTGATTATGAGAAACGGGTAGGCACTAGTGAGTTCCTCCATCAGGAGTGGAGGGGCAAGCTTGCAGCAGGATGTGCAGGAATGTTTCCAGAATCAGCTAAGAGCAGCAGCCAGGAAGGATGCGTCAGAACACTTAATAGGCCTCGTGTCTCTGGATCTGATGCTGTCTGTTTCCTTGTGGCTCTTCCTGCTTTCCTGCTGCCGCTGCCCACCTGCCCCCCTGCAGCCTTTATCACATAACTCTGCCTGGAGGATTACCCTACTCCAAAAGCCGGTTTGTAGAGGTCCAGGAGAGTACCTTTGGGGAGAATGTGAAGGAAACTGTGCAACAAGAACCCCCTGTTGGGCCCTGGAGAGGGAAGACAATCGGTGAGGATACTGGGGTGTGTGCTCAGAGCAGAGAAGGGGCCTGTCTTGGAAATCAAACATCGGCCTGTAACCTCAGGGTCTACTACCAGGCAGGGCAGGCCTAGATGAGGAAGACACTAGATAGGGTGGAAAAAAATGTCCTCCGAATTACCTTCCAGCACCTCATTTTTGCATACAGGCAAAGAGTTCAGATATACACACACACACATTTTTTTTTAATGTAAAGTAAAAATTAAAGCTGAAAACTGCAACTTGCAATTGTGGTAAAGTATCATTTTAAGAGTTATTATTATGCCATGCCTGAAAATACTGTATTAGTCATAGAGACAATTCTGGTGTTGGTGGAGCATGTGGTATGTTTGGGAGACCACCGGTTCATAAATAAATGTTGATTAGGGAGTTGGAGGTCTCTGATCTGTGGATTTACTAGCTTACAGTGATGTAGCATCTAAATAATCTCAGTCGGATCACAGCACACACTCCACAACTGTCATCTCAACTGTCTTTATTCTCTCTGACTTGCTACCAAAAATCTCTTTTGCCTTGTTAGGAAGTCGTGGATTTAATCCTATTTGAATGCTTCATGCCTTGCCAGTGTCCTTATTGATGCTCAAATGGTCCCCTCTTTGGCTGGTGGGAACTAACTCAAGCTGACTCCTAATCAAAGCTTTTAAATCCTATTTGTAAAGGAGAGGAATTGGAGAAGCTCACTTAAATAAGCAAAGATTTTCATCTTGGCTGAGCTAAGAATACAAATATACGTTAGTGCATTTCCTATCTGGTGCAGGCAAGAAACACAAGGCTCCTGGAACCTGGCAACTGGGGAGCTGGAAGTTACTATGGTTTTACTTTCTGGCTTCATGGCTAAAGAAGGTTTCAGAAAGATATGTGTATGTTGCAAGGGAGGGGGGGGGTGCTTCACCTGCAGATATTTACATTATCCTAATGAATGCATTAAATTTTGTTTTGATGATGATGAAACATAAATATTGTTTTAAAAAACTATGACTTGGGGCTTCCCTGGTGGCGCAGTGGTTGGGGGTCCGCCTGCCGATGCAGGGGACACGGGTTCGTGCCCCGTTCCGGGAGGATCACGCGTGCCGCAGAGCGGCTGGGCCCGTGAGCCATGGCAACTGAGCCTGCGCGTCCGGAGCCTGTGCTCCGCAACGGGAGAGGCCACGGCGGTGAGAAGCCCGCGGCCAGGAAAAAAAAAAAAAAAAAAAAAAACAACAACTATGACTTGGAAAATGAATCAATACTCTAACTATATTGTTTTAAAAGAAAAACTGTCTGATTGCCAACTGCCCTGTCCTTCTCCCCAAACTCTGACAATCACCATTCTATTCTTTCCATCTATGAGCTTGATGATTTTAGATTCCTCATATAAGTGGAATTATGCAGTTCTTATCTTTCTGTGATTGACTTATTTCACTTAGCATCTTGTCCTCCAGGTACATCCATGTTGTTGCATATTGCAGGATTTCCCTCTTTCTTAAGGTGAAATAAGATTCCTTAGATGGACTGACCATATTTTCTTTATCCATTTATCAATATGCATAGAATTTCAGTTATACAGGATGAATAAGTTCTAAATATGTTTTACAACAGTGTGCCTACAATACTGTACTGTACACTTACAGATCTGTTAAAAGGGTAAATCTCATACTGTATTCCTACCACAATAAAAAAGTCTTTAAGCTGCCTGCTTTGTTATGCTGTGGTGTGACAGACTGTCTTATGGTTCACAGCTTTTCACTCCCTTCCCCCTGTCATTACACATGCTAGTCCTTGCCATGTGACTTGCAGCCCGCCCTACAAGAGGGACCCCCACCCCCAAGCCACAGCCGGCTCTGCCAACAGAAGGTGAGCAGAACTGACAGTGTCAAGAGACTGGGTGGAGCCTCTGGTTCTCCCTGCTCAGCCACAGGAAGGCCCGTCCCAGAACACAGGTTCAGCCCAGGTGCCTGGTGAGTGAGCGGGAAGACGCAGAGAGCAGAGCCAGGGCCCCGGCCACAGAGCGGCCCTACGTCACAGGAGTAAGAGGTCCATGTTCGCTGTGGTACGCCCCTGACTCGTGGGGGTTGCCTGCTAAGAAGCAGAAAAGGTAACGGATGCATAAGGCAGCTGGTGCCCTCAGAGGTAAAATTTGGAAAAGTGTCTATGTGTTTTTCCATCATGGGATTCACTGTGACAAGCACACCTGAGGATCTACCGTGTGCCAGGCTGGCGCGGGTTTATAACGACGGATATGTTATTCCCGTGCCCTTAGACCTCCTAGTCCAGGGATGGCTGATGGGGAGGCGCGGGGGAGAACAGAGTATAACAGAGTATAATAATCACAATGCACTGTGCAAAGCACAGAAACAGAGGTACACGTGTAGTTTGTTGAGAGCCCCGAGGAGAAGGTGACTAACCTGGTGACAGTCGTGCATCACAGTTACAATAGCTACAGTAGGATTTTATTGCCACCAAAGAAACTGCCACTTGAAAGTTGCCAACCATCTCCATATCTAGAAGTGGAAGAAACCTCAAGTCTTCTTTATTCTAGGGAGAACGTTCGAAGTGGGCTGAGTTAAGCAAATGTCAGGAAAGATGATCATTCCAGGGGATGGGTATCTTAAGACTTTTGGTGGAACTGGGGCTTGACACACACACACACACACACACACACACACACACACACACTGGGGCTCCACCCCATGCCATCCACTTCGATCTGTGGCAACTGGGGCAGTTGGAGCACTTTTTCAGAGACGCCCTGCAGTCTCCTGGGAGTAAGCCATCAAGACCCTATCTTTCCACTTTCACTTTTTCTCATTATTAAAATTTCCCTGGGAATTCCCTGGTGGCACAGTGGTTAAGACACCGCGCTCCCAAGGCAGGGGGCCTGGGTTCGATCCCTGGTCCGGGGACTAGATCCCACATGCATGCCACAACTAAGAGTTTGCATGCCCAACTAAGGAGCCCGCGAGCCACAACTAAAGAGCCCTCGAGCTGCAACTAAGGAGCCCACCTGCTGCAACTAAGACCTGACGCAACCAAATAAATATTAAAAAAAAAAAAAAAAATTTAAAATTTCCCTGACAAACTGAAATGGCCTCAGGTAAGACTAGCCAGCAGCAAAGGCCACCAACGGCTGCCAAGAGGAAACTCAACACGAGCGAAGAGGTGTCTGGGCTGGTGAGCTGACCTCTACAAGGCAGCGCATGAATTCAGGGGAAGGCTGGCCCTGGGTGTGGTGAGTGACTGAGATTGGAAATTTCTCCAGACGCCACCCGTCTAGCACCATGTTTATAACTCGACATCCTTGGGATATCTATCCTTGCTGCCTCACGGCCACACCATCTCCACCATCACCTGTCTCCAATCTCCTCTTCCCTGCTCAGCTGGTTTGCTGCCCAGTGGATGCCCCACCCAGGAATGAGGCACTGGCCTCCGCTTCCCGCAAGCCCCCATTCCTCACATGGTTCTTTCAGAGGCCCCTCCTTTGGCTTTGGGGAGAGGAACCCCACCCTCCTTCCCATCAACCCCACCCACTTCTATAAGCCTTTCCTGCCCAAACTTGTCTCCTTACACAGGATGGGGTGAGAAGGGTCATCATGGTGACTAGGGGCACAGGGCTGATTCTGTTACTCTGAGTAAGCCCTGGGGGAGGTGTGTGATCCTAGGTGTCAGTGGTTTTTTTGTAGAACTTCTGTGTACTTAACACCTCTTTGCCCTCAGCCTCAGGCCATACATAGTTGCCAGCTCTGGGACAACAGGAAAAGTCCCATAGTCCTGTTATGTAGAGAGCCGAACACATAGCTGCAGGTATGACCTGACCCACTGAAGACCACAGAGGGTCTAGTATACACCTTAATCAGCATCTTAGACTTCTGTCACCGCACATAAGGTTACATCAGCGCCATGTCTGGGCAGTGATCTGAAAGAAATACCCAAAATGCATAGAGCAGACTTCCCAGGAGAGTTAAGGGGTTTCCACCAGGTCTGGACATACCTAATAAAGTGATGAGGTGGACAGCCTGTAAGTGTCTACTGGGTTTGATGATTTGCACAGGGTGAGGGGGACGTGGTGCACGGTCTGGAAAAAGGGGTCATACTGGGAAGGGTCTAGCGAACAGACACAGTGGGAGTGGAGAGAACAGCATGGTGGCCTCCCAGCCCCGCTCGCCACAAAGGGTGTCTGGGGTAGAAGGTGAAGGGGCACTGGGAGTCATGGGACCCCAGCATCACTGCTGAGGCACATGAGTGCAAAATGTAACACTGGTTGGGGGTGGGGAGGGATTCTTCCTACTTCTTTGAGGACCGTGGGGATTCTCTGGCTCTCCTGGTGAAGGGGGCTTTGGGGACACTGGGAGCTTCCTCCTTGGTGGAGATACCAGAGCACTGACAGCAACACTCAAAACATGCTGTCCATGTGAGTGAACCAGGGAAAGGGCTCAACCGCCTATTAACAGAGCTCTGTCACATATAGTTACTGCATTCTGTTGAATGAAAGAAACCAGAAAGAGGACAGAGTCTGTGATGCCATTTATATGAAGTTAAAGAAGAGGCACATCTAACCCATGCACAGAAGTCAGAGTGGCCCCTGCCTCTGGGTGGGGTACAAGGGCACTTTCTGGGGTGACAAGGCTACTCCCTATCATCTGGCTACAGGGTGTATGCGTATCAAAACTTCACCAAGATGTACACCTAGGTCTAGTGCGCTTTGCTGCACTTAAGTTATACCTCAATAAAAATAACAAAGAGCTGCATTTATAAAGAATTTTTAATAACATAAGGACATGCCTATACTGTAATCTTTAGCCAAAAAAAAAAAGCAGCATAAAGAACTGGAATGTGTGTGAGAACAATTAATCAGAAGGTATGCATGGGAAAAGGTGTGGATTAAAACACATCATGTGTTAAGAGGGACTGTTTTGAGATTGTGAGAATGTCTAATTTTTTCCGTACTTTCTATTTTTCTGTTTTTCCTAACTTTATACAATGAGCATGTGTTGGTTTTAGAGTTAGACACCTGTTTTAAAAACTAAAAGATTCATTTGCTATTTTTTCAGTCCGTCTCACTGTTGACATTGACCTAGAGTCAGCATGAGCCCCCGTCTGTTCGTGTGAGCTGCTGTGTGTCAGGCTTTCAGCTCATTGAGCTCATGCAGTTGGCCCTTTGAACCCAAGGGAGAAATTCAATGTCCTCCCCATCTTGTGGATGAAGCTCTGAGTCCAGAGAGAGAAGCAGCCCTCGGAACTTGGGTGTAATGACTCAAAGTGGAGCAGCTAGGGCTTCCCTGGTGGCGCAGTGGTTGAGAGTCCGCCTGCCGATGCAGGGGACGCGGGTTCATGCCCCGGTCCGGGAAGATCCCACATGCCGAGGAGCGGCTGGGCCCGTGAGCCATCGCCACTGAGCCTGCGCGTCCAGAGCCTGTGCTCCGCAACGGGAGAGGCCACAACAGTGAGAGGCCCGCGTATCACAAAAAAACAAAAAACAAAAAAAAACAAAACAAAGTGGAGCAGCTACTGGAAGCCTGGCCTGCACCCCACAAGGAGGGCTGGGCATCAAGCCCAGAGTAGCAAACCAGCCAGAAGATCGTTTCTCATGGAGAGTCTGAAGGCCATACATAACAGAACCAGAGCCCTGCAAACTGGGAAACTGGGAGGGCCAAGGTAAAAAAAGAAGCGGAGATGGCAAAACTAAGTCACAGCACGATAAACTGCTGGTTTACTGTCGCTATTGTATCCAGAGGAATGTTTCATTGATTAAATGCTGAAGACGTTCCCATGGGTCCTCCCTTCCTTGTGCATCCCTGGGATGAACCCCTACCCCAAGAGGTGACCTGAATGTCCCCCTAAAAGGGGGTCACGCACACTGCTAAGCTGTGCTTCCTTGTTTCAGCCTGTGAATCCTCACCCTGTATTGCCCAAATGTGTTATTTTCCAAACCAACTTGGCCATGGAGTCATTTTGTATTTAAGGGGAGAGGTCCCTTGGGGCCCCCAAGTCTAGCACATCATTTCACAGAATGGGGAAACAGAAGCTCAGAGAGGGGAAGAGCCTTGCCAAGGGCACGCAGCGAGCCAGCAGCACAGTATGGGCAACTTCGAGCCTGCTCCACTACTCCACCCTGCCCTCTGGGGGTGAGCGTGCCCTCAACTCCACAGCCACCCTGGTGACAAGACCCACAGAACGCAGGGCAAAGCCCCAGCTCCACATGGTGAAGTACCAATACAATACAAAGCAACCAATGCCACACACAGAAAAGCAACATTTGTCTGGCAGCATCTGAGAGTTCTACCCAGTGTATTACCAGTGAACATAAGGCTTCTCTTCAACCAGCCAAAACTATATTCCCCATTTCCTGTGAAATTCTGTATTAATTTATTTGCTACACATTTTGTGAACGCCTTCTCAAGCGTACTTTGTACGTCGCTGCTTAACTAGCCCACAGAGAGCCGGTACCTACAAAAGACTCTACAACTCGTTCTGTCGTTTGATCTCAACCACAGATCTGTCGAGTAGGTTTGTGTTTGGGGCTTTTTCCCCCCCATTTTACAGGTAAGAAAACTAAGGCCTGGAGAGTTTCAGTAACTTGTACAAATCAAGTAGTAAAGAGTGAAGCTGGGTGTTAAGTCCAGCCTCAAGACTAGAGTCCAGTTCTCAATTGCTGCCTCTTGTATGAACTTGAACATCTTCTTCATAACTCACTGTCCTGGTTGTGATTACCAGTTGCTGGGTCCTTCTGTGCTTTCCTGGCTTTTCCCAGCAGTCATATCCCTAATGGCACCAGCCATTAGCTTCTCCCTTTCAGCTTCTATTTGGCTGATACAAATATGCTCTAGACAAGGACCCCACAGGGAACCAATTTTTTTAGAATTTTATATAATAAATCTCTCTAAGAAAGAAAGGATCACTGAATGAGTAACCAAGAGTCTGATGTTTATTGAGTGTATATTATGTGCTAAATTCTGGACATGGATGCCTCATGTAATCCTCCCAACAAACCCATGAAGCAACTACCATTATTCAGCCCACTCCACAGATAAGAAAGCTGAGGGTAGGGCGAGGCTTCGAGCTCAGGCAACCTGACTGTAGAGGCCACTTCCACAGGTTTGGGGTCTCCTCAGATCACAAGCCAGTGCTTCTTATTCTGTGGCGCTGGCTCTCCACTATGTTCTTGGTTTTGCGGTCTACAATTAAGCTTTATAGATAAGTAACCAACCACCAAGGAAGCCTGGGGTGACTGCGTATAACGTTGAAATAGAATCTTGAACTTGACCCTATTCTTCTGCCATTTGTTGCCTGTTTCGTGTTGAAAAATTCTCACAGAAATTCCAGATAGACTGTATCCCTGGAGTGAGGAACTCTGCTGCCTACATCCCTGGCAGAATACAGGCACTCACAAATGCCTGCTGGCTTGGAGGGCTGCAAAACAGTGGATAGGGAGAGTGAAAATTCATGATGACATGCTCCCAAGATGCTTGATCTGGAGAAAGATGGGCAACATGTTTAGCTCACAGGTAAAGGTATAGTAAAAACCCTTAAGCAACCAGTTATTTTAGTTTGCAGAGGGAACGTATGTGCAGGTGGTGAACGTATGTGTGTGAGTCGTGGCAGGCAAGGAGGGTGAGGGGAGGGCAGATAAAGGGGAGCACGGGGTTAAGGTGAGATGTTCCCTTCACTTCAAAGTTGGTTTCAGCTGGCTTTCATGGAAGACAAATGGCAAGGGGGTCAGAATCTCTCCCTTTGAGCCTCCCCATTGATAAGCCCTGCGGTCTTAAGCCCTCCTAATCATTTGCTTCTTGGGACAGCAGTTTCTTTCAGTAAAATGTGGGCTTTTGACTAGATGGACATGAATGTTCTTCTAGTTCTATTACCCTTCAATTCTTTCTGTTTTCCCTTCAATTCTTTCTGTTTTCTAACAGACTGTGTGGTTGGATGAACTGAGAACCAAAAAGAAACTGTGTAATCAGGGAAGCCCATGAATAAGCTTTCAGACCAGCTATCTATTTTCTAGTCTATTTCAAGCTCAATTTTTCTTCTTTTTAGAAAAAAGGACGGTTCTCTGATGATTTTCTGCACTGCCACATACTTATTCATTAAAACTCCACCCCCAATTCAGAAGAAACTGCATTTCCTACTTTTATGCTGTCTGTATGTTTGATCTGCACAGCTCAACTGGTCAGAGGAACTAAGACATCTGTCCCCCTGCGAGAATCTCTCTCGGTAAGTCACCTCTCAGCCACTTTGCCTATTACTTAGCTCAGCTTGTGTGATGAGTAAAAGCCTTTGCAGGAAACCATGGAAGACATTAGAAAAACACCAGGTGCTCGCTGAACTATCTTAAAATATTATCTTTAAGGAAAAAGTTAGAATTCAGAATGGTTTCAGACTGTGATAACATCAAAGATACAAAACATGATTATGAATGAAAGACTTTAAAGGGAGCAATACTATTTTAAAAAGCCCTCACCTTTCATAAGAAAGATTTTTCAGAGAGATGACGATTATTGGCCCAAACCTTGACAGATGATCTTCTGGTAAGGAGAACTAAAACCTCCTCATCAGGATGCCCTCTGAACAGACGCCTAACCAGAAGTTGCATCTAAGTCTTCTTTTTTTTTTGGCCAAGAAAAGAAGGAAGCCTGAAAATTGTCCAAATTAATAACAAGTTACAAATATCAAATGAAGTTTCACAGCATATTCAGTGTATGATACTTTTTCTGGCTCAGAATTTAAAGGTGAGATTTTCTGTGTGCTTCTCTCAGCTGCCTAATCTGAGGTACCAGGAGTTTGAGACTCACAAGGACTAATTAGGGAAAACTCTCAATCAAGCAGTGGAACTTAAATAGACCAGGCAAGTCAGTGGGTTGTGAAGGGACTGAGCTAACCCAGGATGTATGATGGGAGCTGAAACACTGTCCACTTGGCCATTTCTTACGTATGTGTGGGAGCTCTTAATCATAGCAGCTCAGAAACTACAAACACAAACTTCAGAGAAAATGTGAGAATGGCAGTCCGGATTTCGCAACTGGCTGCTGGTTCCTATGACCTTCTCAGGGGACTCGGGCATCAGCCTGTTTCATTTTGACTACACTGAGGCGCCAGGCTGACAGTCCTGTTTTTAGTTCTCTCACCAAAGAGTGAAAGATAGGGGACCACGACGGATAAGAGTACAGGCTGCCTGCATTCAAAACTAGTTGCCTCCTCACTGTGTGTCTTTGGCGAAGTTACTCAACCTCTCTGTGCTCTGAGGCCCTTATTTGCAAAATGGGGACAATAACCTGACCCGCCTCACTGGGTCACCTTGAGGATTAACTGAATGAATGGAAGTGAAGCTTGGAACAATGTTTGGCAGGCAGAGCGCCCTGGGGAACTGTTCGTTACCACCAGCACGCTCGTAATCATGCTTGTGTAAGCTAACTCCTGGGAATGGCAGCTTCAGAATAGATTGTAAACAGTGTCGGACGGTGCCTGACCCAGTTTCTGGACATTGTTATCACAGCTGCATTCACTCCACATGGCTATGCAACATCAGATTTTATTTGGTGAGATGATACTCTCCATCTAGTAAGCAGAGAAGCAGGCAACAAACATCCCTTACTACAGAAGTTCACTGTCTGACCAAAAAAGGGACTTCAGTTAAACGTAGAAATCTATGTATCAACTTTTAAAATCTACTGGTGTTTAAGATAGCTTGCATTCATGACGGACTGTTAAGGACATTCTAGGACTTTATAAAAGATCTCTTCTTTATTCACAGAGTCGAGCAAAATGGATTATCAAACATCAAGTCCCCTCTACGACATTGATTATGGGATGTCAGAGCCCTGCCAAAAAGTCAATGTGAGACAAACTGCAGCCCAGCTCCTGCCCCTGCTCTACTCGCTGGTGTTCATCTTTGGTTTTGTGGGTAACATTCTGGTCGTCCTCATCCTGATCAACTGCAAAAAGCTGAAGAGCATGACTGACATCTACCTGCTCAACTTGGCCGTCTCTGACCTGCTTTTCATCATCACCATCCCGTTCTGGGCTCACTATGCTGCAGACCAGTGGGTCTTTGGAGATATAATGTGCCAGTTTTTCACAGGCTTCTATTTCATTGGCTTTTTCTCTGGAATCTTCTTCATCATCCTCTTGACAATCGATAGGTACCTGGCTATCGTCCATGCTGTGTTTGCTTTGAAAGCCAGGACAGTCACCTTTGGGGTGGTGACAAGTGGGGTCACCTGGGTGGTGGCTGTGTTCACCTCTCTCCCAGGAATCATCTTTACCAAATCCCAGAAAGAGGGTTCTCGTTATACATGCAGCCCTCATTTTCCATCCAGTCAGTATCATTTCTGGAAGAATCTCCAAACTTTAAAGATAGTCATCTTGGGCCTGGTGCTGCCACTGCTTGTCATGATCGTCTGCTACTCGGGAATCCTAAAAACCCTGCTTCGGTGTCGCAACGAGAAGAAGAGGCACAAGGCCGTGAGGCTCATCTTCGCCGTCATGCTGGTCTACTTTCTCTTCTGGGCTCCCTACAACATCGTCCTTCTCCTGAGCACCTTCCAGGAATTCTTTGGCCTGAATAACTGCAGTGACTCTAATAGGCTGGACCAAGCCATGCAGGTGACAGAGACCCTGGGGATGACACACTGCTGCATCAACCCCATCATCTACGCCTTCGTCGGGGAGAAGTTCCGAAGCTATCTCTTACAGTTCTTCCGAAAGCACGTTGCCAGATGCTTCTGCAAAGGCTGTCCAGTCTTCCAGGGAGACGCTCCAAAGCGAACGAGCTCCGTTTTCACACGATCCACGGGGGAGCAGGAGATCTCTGTTGGCTTGTGACCTGACTCAGTTTTTATATGCAGACTAGGGGCGGGAGCGGTTCTTTTAAAGAGGAAGTTACTGTCATAGAGTGTTTAAGTTTCATCCATTTATTTGGCATCAGCTCTAAGTATATTAGACATTTCAAGCTCATCAGTTCTAGAGAGCCAAATCAAAACCCGTGATGAAATAGCAACCTTCTCACCTCCCCTCCACATACATCAATTTATTGGCAAACTCCCTTCACTGCAAAAGTTCAATATAAAAAAAAAAAAAAATCCTCAGAGAATTGCTAATTCCTGAGTTTGGTTACCTGAACGGGAATAACAAAATGAACTGAGCAAAGTATTGTATAGTTTCTTACCGGTGTAGGGCAACATCTAGGTTGCAAATGTGCTTAAAATAGATCTTTCTCTTGCCATGGGGAGAAAAGACATGCCTGTGATCAGTTAAGAAATGACAACTTCGATGTGGGATCTCCCCTCCAAGGTGTGGTTAAGAAGTTCCATAGACATTCACACCAGGGGAGAGCCCTGTGGCCTGCTGAGAGCTGGGAAGGCTTCTTCGCGGAGAAGGGATTGGAGGTGGATGGTCTGTTGGTGGAGAGGGAAGATGAGCTCCAGGCTGCAGGCACCGCACTGGCAAAGACTGACTGTGGGGAGACGTGCGCTGGTTGGGGGAGCCCCAGGGGAGGAAGGATGAGGTGAGAGCATGAGGAACCTGGACAGCGCTGCTCATCAAAGTCCAAGAGCAGAGCAGGGAGCCCTTGCCAATGTTGCAGAAGGCTCAATCCACAGCCAAAGGATGGCCTGGAAAGGTGAGCATTCAGGGCAAGGAGACCAAAACAGTCTGATCAAGTGAGGAGGCTCCACTTAGTTCGCGGCGCAGGAGATGGGAAGGAGGGGTGCATTCTCACAGCATTTAGGATGAGAGTCAGCAATAGTTGGGGCGGATTTGGCTTGGGGGTGAGGAGCAGAGAAGAGTCAGAGTGAACCCCTAGATTCCACCCGATCATCAGAGATGCCCTAAGAGAGACACCAAGAAGGAGGAGGAGGTTTAGGTCAAAACAGGAGTTGGTGGAAGAGAAAGTTGGTGGTCTGTGAGCTGAACAAAGCCCTAGGCACACAGACCCTGGGCTGCCTGTCACTGACTGCTCCTGCCTCCAGAGCAGTCCGTCCCATCCAGGCTTGAATCATGAGGCATCTCCAGGGGGCTCTGAAATACCAGATTTACGAATGCACGAGCCTGAGGTCCAGGAACACTTTTAGGTCAGATATGACATCTAGGTGAGGACTGATTACATAGTTAATGAAAATCCAGAGCTTTATAAGCACTGAGTAAAGAGGTCCCCAAGAGCTGCAGGAAGCCTGAATGACTGTTTCTGCCTGTTTCAGGCGCACCACTATTTACGGTTTTCCAGATTTAACCATCAATAGACAAAGGGAAGAAGGACACACTCATTTGGAAACAGGCTGCCTCAAGCTTTATAAGCCACAAAAGGTGCAATTTACTAACCTCCGTGTTTCAGGCTGAGTGTGGAGGCTTTAGATACACCTTCCAGGCACCATCTCCAAACAAAGCATATCCAAACACTAGGAGACTTATTCATTTCAAAGGGAGAATTAAAAACTTTTTGCAGTTGCTACTTATGTTATTTTGTATATGCCTAAGATTGTTTTGAATTCAGGGGTAGCTAAGACTATCATTGTAAAGATTAGGTGGGAACGTGTAAAGGAGTGAGAATCCCTCAGGAGATTAAGGTGTCAAAGCAAGAGGTACTACTGATTTTTCTCCAGCTCTTAAATGTGAATCTTGAGGGTTGTGGCTATCAAGGGGAAGTGACTGGAAGGGCCTTTTCTTTTGCCCTTAAGGTTGCTGAGAGTGCATATATGACACATGACCCTCACCTATGAGTCAATTCAAACATTCTGATATCTTTGTGTATATACGTATAAACATATATATATATGTATATATACACATATATATATATACGTGTACATATATGTGTATGACATTCTTACATATATAGAAAGTTACAAACTGCTTAGAAGAAAATATGTATCTAATAAAAACCCTGTAAAATAACTGGTTGTATTCTTGTATTTTCAGCCAAGTTTACATTTAGAAAATAGCACCTAAAGTTGTGAGAGCATTTTGTGTAGCTGTTTTGGAAAATTTCATACACACACACAAACACACATATTGAGAATTATTTTTCTAATTATTTTTAAAAGTTAACCCTCTCCCTGGATCAAATTGCCAGAATAATTTGTTTTTAAAGATGCTACTTCCCAGAGTGGTGATTCTGAACAACTGACCCTGAAAACTTTGAAATTTCAAATTTAATTCTACTCAAGCAAAAGAACTGACATATTTTTTTAAAAAAATCAATGTGTGATTCAGCATATGCCAGCTGTCTATGCTTGAAAATGAAGAAGACATATAATGTCATAACCTGGTCATTTATCTGTAGTCTTGAGTTACAGATACATAATGCAGGAGGAAGAGGTTGGTGGCTATAAAGATTACTTTTCTTTCATTTAAAATCTCTCCCCAAAACTTGGCTGTAATTTCAGCGATGGCAACGGTGCCCATGTGAACTTCTGTGCACGTGTCTCTCACCCTCAAGGAGGACAGGTGCTCCATGTGGAGGTGACCTGGCCGGGCACATTCACACTGGTTTCCCCCCTGCTGTCCTCTCCCCTTCCAGAGTGGACTCTAGAGTTGGCCAGCGTCCTACATGCAGGTCTGTGAAATGAGCAGCAGACAAGGACAGCTGGAGCTGGTCCTTAGGACAGCTTCTCCCTAACAATACCTGAAAGACTTCCTTCTATCTCATAGGCTACAAGGAGGCATGAACCAATGAAGGCTGGAAGAGGGCTGGGGCTAGAGCAGAGGGAAGGGCCAGGGAGAAAGCAGGCCCTGCCCCATATGACAGAGGCAGCTGCCATAGGGAGACTGGAAAGTGTCCGTTTTTATGGCTGATACACACGCACTTCTTATCCTCTTTCCCTCTGAAAAAATGAATCCAACGTTAACGTGAAGAAAAAGCTACCCAACGTGTCTGCAGCCTTTCCAGGGTGCATACCCCATGCTCACCCCTCGTTTGCCTGGATCCTCCATGCCCCTTGCTCTGCAGGCCCCTCCACTGCCCACCTCTTCTCTGCCCATCCCTTAGATCAACAAACAAGTGTGAACTCATTATGGCCTGCAGGTTCTGACTCCATTCACTGCCTCAACTCAGAGGCCCCATCAAGGAGGGGGTTTTGTATGCGCCATGGAGAAAGTCAAAGAAAAG